CACCACTCGATCACCCACTCACTCACTCAATTACTCACTCATCCTCAGTAGGCTTCGGAGGCAGTGGTCCTCCGACGGTAGGACCGCCGCCACTTTCAACATCATCGTCACCATCTCCATCATAATCTCTCGACCACCCACTCAGTGGCCATCATGATCATCATCAGCATCATCATCACTCATTCATCACACACTCATCATCATCATCATCATCATCATCATCATCATCATCATCATCATTCACTCACTCATCATTTCGTCATCAATCACTCCCTGGCTTGAATATGGAGGTAGTATCAGGCGGGAGCCTCGTCCGTGAGTGAATTGTGAGGAAGTCTCACGCGGGAACCCCTCCCTATGGGGCCCGCACCTCATGTTCTTAATCCGAGGCGGGTCATTCGAAACGTGTAACTGTCGTCAGTTTTGTGCCCCTGTGGCGAGAAACTGGAGGAAATATGAAGCGGGAGCCAAGTCTCAGGCGGGAAACCTCTCCCTATGGGGCCCGCACGTCATGTTTTCAATCCGAGGCGGGTCATCCGAAACGTGTACCTGTCGTCACTTGTGGGCCCCTGCGGCGTGAATCTGGAGGAAATATCAAGCGGGAGCCTCGCCTGTGAGTGAATTGCGAGGAAGTCTCAGGCGGGAAACCTCTCCCTATGGGCCCGCACCTCATATTTTTAATCCGAGGCGGGTCATCCGAAACGTGTAACTGTCATCACTTTCGGCCTCCGGAGGGCTTGAATAAGGAGGATGTATCAGGCGGGGGCCTCGTCTGTGAGTGATTCGCGAAGAAATCACAGGCGGGAGCCCGCCGGTCTGTCCCCGCGGGAGTCCCCGCGCTGAGCCAGCTCGAAGCATGCGAGCTGGAGCTGAGGCGCACGAGGAGGAGGAGGAGGAGGAGGAGGAGGAGGAGGAGGAGGAGGAGGAGGAGGAGGACGAGGAACAGGAATTGAGGAGGACGACGGCGGCCGGGCGCAGGGGGAAACCCTTGCGTCTGGGCCGGGGGTGGTAACCCATCCTCGGCCGAAGCGGCGGCCGGGCGCAGGGGGAAACCCTTGCGTCCGGGCCGGGTGTGGTAACCCATCCTCGGCCGAATCGGGGGCAGGGGTAATCCCTTGTCTCCGGGCCGCCGGTGGTAACCCATCGGCGGCCGAATCGGGCGCAGGGGTAGCCCCTTGCGTCCGGGCCTTGCGCTTCGAGCCGGGGGACCCTCTGATCGCGTTCTTGGGCTGCATGCGCGTGGGCAAGCGCTTCCCACCAGAAGTCTGGTATGCCTGGGAGAAGACGTTGGCCTCTGACAACCACGGCGTCCTGGACCCACGGCACCAGCACGAGAATTTCCGGCTCGGCTACGGCATGGGCATCTACTGGGAGACGCTGGCGAAGTGGATCAACACGCCCGCTCGTCGCGACGCGCAGCGCCTCGGCGTCCCCCTCGTCTTCCTGCAGGCCGTAGACGAGTGCGGCACGATTCAAGGCGACCCAGACGCAGGCCGGCGCCTCCTGAACGTCCCGAACATGCACAAGACGGGGGACATCCACGGCGTCTTACCGGCACACGTCGGCATGGAGGTCCGGTTCACGGCCGTGCAGGAGGAGCTAAAGAAGAAGTTGGGGCTCGTGCAGGAGCAACGGGCCACCATCGTGTCCTTCGAGTTTCACGCAGACGACGAGCGGGACTACGAGGAGTGCGCGCCCGGCCAGCCGCCCCCGCTACCTACCGCAGGGAATCTGGCTGCAGGTGCACGGCTTCCTGGAGTCCCCGATCTACAAGGAGGTCGCCGAGGTGCTGCAGCAGGGCGCCGACGGCGCTGCCGACGACGCCGAGGCCGAAACGCGGGCGAGGAGCTTGCGCATGTTCAGGCCCAGCGAGCAGGAACTCACGTGGCAAAGCTCGGGGGCGCACGCTGTGCGCCGCTCGGGGGTCACCCTGACGCATGCGTCCTACCTGACCTCCACGCTGTCGCAG